GAGACCTAGACACTGGATTTCTTTATCCTAGAACAAAGTCGTTGGGGTGGCAGAGGAGTTGGAGATTGAGGCCCTAGGGAAGGTGAGGATCAACTTAAGGCAAAACCGAGGAGAGGACATTAGTTAGACTCTGTACTTGACTCAGGCCCTGTCTCCCTCAGGCTCAGTTCTTGCCAGGCCAACCCGAGACATGTCTGACACAAGCGACAGTGGTGCAGGCCCAGCTTGCTTCCAGGTAAGGACTCTTTCAGCCCTCTTTACAGCTGCTTTTTCTTTCCAGCCCTGTTGCTGCTCCACATCCTTTGACATTTACCCTCCCATCTCACTTGTCCTTTTCCGTGCACATTTTTGACTGGACTTTTGCCCCCATCACACACACACTGGAGGGAGGAAGGAATGGAGAAAAAAATTAAAGAGTATGAGTAGGCTCCTCTTCTACCATCAGTTCTTGCTCAAAGGAAGAGGAGGCCTTATTGGGCTAAGGTGGTCACAGCGTACTGCAGTGGGAGTATAGACCTGAGAAGTGTGGGCTTTAACATTGGAGCTCTTTACCTAGATTGGGATGGAGAGGTCAGTGAGCTTTCTTCCTTCCTCTTGCAGGCCAAAGCTTCAGAAAAGGGCAGTGGTTCAATGATGCAGACCCTGTTGATAGTGACTCAGAACTTGGAGGTCTCAGAGACACCAAAGGCCTCAAAGGTACCAGAGATCTCAGAGACTGCAAAAGTCTCAAAAGCCTTAGGGGTCTTGAAGGCCATGAAGGTCTCAAAGGCCCCAAAATCTCAGGAGGCACCTGCCATCCAGTCCTCACCTGTCAAACAGCTGACTGATACTCACGTTCTGACAGCTGAAAGCAAGAGTCCAGCAGCTGACACCAAGATACCAAATACTGACTTGCAGGCTGTGAAAATGCCTGCCCCTGAGACCAAAAAGGGCAGCTGTGTGGCTGATATGAAGGTCAATACAAAGCCTTCAGAGACTGAGGCTGCTGCTTCTCAGTTGCAAGCAGATGAACCTGAGCATGAGAGTGCAGCTTCCAAGGCCCAGGAGAATCTGGATACTCGGCCCAAGATCAAGGTCAAGAAAGCTCGAAAGGTAAGACCTCTGGAGTCACTATCCATGCTTTTTCATTCCTCTCTTTCACTTGGTTATTTAATTCTACAAACATTTACACAGATTCCCTTTACTCATCAAGACATATGGGACACTGAAAAGAATATGTATGATTCTTGACTTCAGGGAGCTCACAGACTGGTGGGAAGACAGTAGTATATACACCTATAATCTTAATGTAATGCAGTTTAAATTTGTGTGGTAGATGCCCGTGTGTTACCCCCCTGACCTAGGCACATTCACATAAGTTGCATTGTTAAAAATTAAATGTGAATCTTATAGTCTTTGTTTAACACAAAAGGATACTGAGTCCCAGAAAGGTGACTTGTCCAAAGTGGTACAAACAGAGAAAGTGGTGGTCATAGAAAGATGAAAAGCTCTAGGTTCCTGATGAACTGGGAGGATGACACCCTGGAATGGAAATCAATGAGAAATAAAACCAGTACTCTGCATGATCTGTGTTTAGCTAGTCAAGCTGTTACTATAGGAGCAGGCTGCTTCTTGGAAGAGAGAGGATAAGGAAGAATAATCACATGCTTTACCTGATAATGTTGACTTCATATTTATTGGTGCAGGTGAAGCATCTGGAAGGAGAGGAGGATGGCAGCAGTGATCAGAGTCAGACTTCTGGAATCACAGGTGGTCGAAGGGTCTCAAAGGCACTAATGGCCTCAATGGCCAAAAGGGCTTCAAGAGGGCCCATAGCCTTTTGGGCCCGCAGGGCATCAAGGACCCGATTGGCTGCTTGGGCCAGGAGAGCTTTGCTATCCCTGAGGTCACCTAAAGCTCGCAGGGGCAAGGCTCGCCGAAGAGCTGCCAAGCTCCAGTCATCCCAAGAACCTGAAACGCTACCATCTCGAGATGTGGCCCTTTTGCAAGGAAGAGTAAGAATGCCATCATTTTCATCTTGCTTTTCCCATGCTCTTGCCACCCCCCTTCTCTGCCATCCTCTCAGGTTTTCTTTTTTTTTATCTTATCTTCTTGTCCCAGGCAAATGATTTGGTGAAGTACTTATTGGCTAAAGACCAGACAAAGATTCCCATCAAGCGTTCAGGTAGAGTGCTACCAACTTTCCCCCTTCTTTGAGCTCTGCCTTACATTGCCCATTCTCCTATGTACTAGGGGCATATCTCACTTTTATAGTCCCACCTTTATTCCCCCAGAAATCTAGTTTGTAGTGTTAGCATCTCTATTGATAAGCCCAGAACCCAGTTAAGTCACCCATGGCATGGTTGACAAAGCATCAACCCAGGTGCTTGCAACACTCTCCCCTTGCAGACATGCTGAAGGACATCATCAAAGAATATACTGATGTGTACCCTGAAATCATTGAACGAGCAGGCTATTCCTTGGAGAAGGTGAAGGGGCAGCCTTGGGGGATGGATACATTGGGTAAACATTGAATGGAACAAAGGAGTACAATGGTCCTTCTGGGGGGGAATCAAAGAGGCCTAATAATAGAGCCTTATTACTGTGAAGATGGGCAGAAAGTGGCCCAGCGAGAGGCATAGACCGGCCATGGGTCACATAGCAACTAAATGGGGAAAGCATAACCAGGACTCAAGCCACCTAACTTAGTCCTGGCTTCTGTCTGCTGCTAGAAACACCCTGTGATATATTCACATGCTCACCTTTCTGTCTCTCTAGATTTCAGTAATCTTAAAGATGATGTTGATAGCAATAGTACAATTCTTGCATGTTTAATTTGTATTGGGTCTGTGCTTTGCATGTTTCAGGATGCTTGGAAAGCTGAATTTTGTGATCTTACATGTTATTCTCCCAACCCACAGGTATTTGGGATTCAGTTGAAGGAAATTGATAAGAATGATCACTTATACATTCTTCTTAGCACCTTAGAGCCCACTGATGCAGGCATACTGGGAACGTAAGCTGGAAGAAGGCTGGGGTGGGAGAGGGATTTCTACTTTGATCTGTGATACTACCCTGCCCTCTTTCCTGACATCCCTGATTCTAATGAGAATTCTCTAATGAGAATCAGGAAAGAGGGCCTAAAAAGGCTCTGTCTAAGCATCCCACATGGTTGGACCCTGTGTACAATAGTAGTGCCTGATTATTATTGACTGAAGGATGCAAGAACTTGGGATAGGATATTTCTGCTGTTAGGTTTGCTGTGTATCCTGAAGCTTCCCTGGAAAGCAGGCCTGTTGGTACCTATCTCTTCCTACTGAGGCCTGTCATTGGTAGAGTAGTTCTCAAGGGAAGGCTTCTTGATGTGATTGGATCATGAGGTTTAAAAGGTAGGTGTGCTACTGGAGCATGTTATACCAGATTGACAGGCAATCTTCCATCTTTTTGGCAACCTGGGGATGCAGTAGGATGTGAATTTTTTCCATCTTACTGATGAGATAATAGCTGATGATACTTACATACCTTGCTTGAGCTCACATAGAGTTGGAAGCATACATTGAACAGAATTCTCTCACATCTGAGGTATCTGGGAGATGCTAGCCAAGTGAGTTGGCTGGTATGTCTTGAAGATGCCTCCTTGACAAACTTTCTGTCCTGTTATTTCATTAGGACCAAGGACTCACCCAAGCTGGGTCTCCTCATGGTGCTTCTTAGCATTATTTTTATGAATGGAAATCGGTCCAGTGAGGGTGAGTGGAAATTGGTCCAGTGAGGGTATGCAGTCAAATGGGTGGCCATGGTCTGAATTCTGCCTGCTCATTTTCTATTCCTATCTCCTCTTGTCTCCCCTTGCAGCTGTCATCTGGGAGGTGCTGCGCAAGTTGGGGCTGCGCCCTGGGTATGATTGGGCTCTCTCAACACTTGGTGTCCTTTGATAAGAGAGGACAGTCCCAGGATTGCATCAACCTGGTGGTCTGGTGGAGCAGGCGGGGGTGCTGGACTGGGTAGAGGCCCCCGAATTCTGACCTGGGTGGATGGGGAAATGGTCCTGAGCTCTGCTCCTCTTCTCATTGTCTCTTGAACTTCTATGGAGCATACCCCCTCTGCTGAAACCTCTTTTGCATCTTGGAAGTGTTTTTGCTGTGCCTGGGCAGTGCCACATTCCTAATTGTATTTATTTATTTGCTTATGTTTTCCTTCTCTCAGGATACATCACTCGCTCTTTGGGGATGTGAAAAAACTCATTACTGATGAGTTTGTGAAACAGAAGTAAGTGTCTTTGGTATATTCCATGCATTTTTCCTATTTCAGAACTGAGTGATAAATCCATGGTACATTCATGCTTATGGGCATGGGTATACAAGTGTATGTGTAGGGCTAGGTATGCAGGTGCTAGGTTATTTCTCAGGGCAGTGATACAGAATGTGCTGCCTGTTTACTGATTTCTTAAATGGACTCATATGTATCTTCAGGAAACTGCAAGAAAAATTGTCATCACTAGCCACATACATATGTAGAAACAGGCAGAAAAGTGAAATTATTTGCTAAGATTCAATGACTGGGTTCTTCTTATTGTGCTTTTAATTTACAGAAATCAGTTTCCATCAAAAAATACCCTAGAATGGTAACTTCACATAGCCATGCTGGGAATTTGACTTGTTCATCTCAGTTTGCTTCCATAACTATTCTTCAAAATGTTATATTCTTACAGTAACATTCTTTAGAATGTTACAGTACCTTGTACAGTTGAAGAACTTGGGGCTTAAGGGTTATGTTTGAGTATAGCCTACAGTTGCTAAATGGCTCATTTAGGCATGGAGTCCAGCTCTCTTGACTTTCTGTTCATGATAGAGATAATATAAAGCATTGACACAATCACAGACACACACAGGAACACACACAGTCAAGTATATGCATAGGACATGCTGCTCCTGATTGACTGTTGTTCCTTTGTAGTCTTTCATTTTCTATAAGGAATAGTGCTCAAAGCTTGGCCAACCCTCCCTGGGAAGCCTGGCCATGGGGTGTGCTCAGCAGGTGGCCTGAAGAATGGCTCCTTTGTTTATAACACACTCAGTAGGAATCTAGGGTCATTGTGAAGAGGGGTACAACACTTTTGACTTCCCTTTGAGCAAGTGTCCTACATGTTTACTCCATATACTTCAACATGTTTTCTGGATATTAACAGTGGGACAAGGCTCAGTAATAGGGGGAAGGCTTTAGCATTTAGGGGGAAAGGTGGACATTTTGAGCCTGTCCAGTGTATTCATGGTTGAGCCATTGGTAGTTCTAGAAGTAAAGACTTTAAATTTCTATTTTCAAGGTACCTGGACTATGCTAGAGTACCCAATAGCAATCCCCCTGAGTATGAGTTCTTCTGGGGCTTACGTTCCTACTATGAGACCAGCAAGATGAAAGTCCTCAAGTTTGCCTGCAAGGTAATTGAAGAATTGCCTCAGCTTGGAATATAGAGAGTATGGGGTACACTTGACTGGCCAGGTTGTGTGCAGAGCTGCCTGCAGTTCAGATTTGAACATTCTGAAGCCTCTGTTACTGCCAGATGCTGTTACAGGCATTTTGTCTGAGTCATGTAGTCTTTACATTTCATATGGCATTGCCCTATTGCATATGAGAAAACAGACTCACGGTAGGTGATGAGTTCCAATCGTGTAACTAATAAAGTGTCAGTACAGGGATGGAGTATGAGGTACAAAATTACTGCTATTGTATTATTATTACATATAGCATGTAGCATGGTGCCTGGCATATAGTAGGTACTTAATCCTGTGATTATGATCCTTCAAGTGGCTGTTATTACCATTTCAGGTACAAAAGAAGGATCCCAAGGAATGGGCAGCTCAGTACCGAGAGGCAATGGAAGCAGATTTGAAGGCTGCAGCTGAGGCTGCTACTGAAGCCAAGGCAAGAGCCGAGATCAGAGCAAAAATGGGCATTGGGCTTGGCTCTGAGAACGCTGCTGGGCCCTGCAACTGGGATGAAGCTGATATTGGACCCTGGGCCAAAGCCCGGATCCAGGCAGGAGCTGAAGATAAAGCCAAAGCCAATGCCCAAGAGAGTGGTGGTGCTAGTGCCAATGCCAGTACTGGTACTGGTACCACTGGTGCTAGTGCCAGTGGTGGCTTTAGTGCCAGTGCCAGCTTGACTGCCACTCTAACATTTGGGCTTTTTGCTGGCCTTGGTGGAGCTGGTGCCAGCACCAGTGGCAGCTCTGGTGCCTGTGGTTTCTCTTATAAATGAGATTTCAGATATCTGTCATGGTTTCAGTGGAGGCAGCTGGGGCTCAGGGGAATGGGATGAAAAGCTGAAACCCAGGGTAGAAAATGACATGGAGAGTATACAAAGACACTGCTTCTGGCATTTATTCCTTCCTGTTTGGTGGCTATCAATTGACTTTTTGATTTTTTAATATGTGTTTGCAGATATCCTTAATCCTAGCAGTCTTGCTCTTCACTGAGGTGTACCCTCAGAAACCTACTCAAAACAGCACTCTAGGGAGCTATTATCAATCAATTGGAGTTGACACTGCATTAAATCTATTTGCTCTTTCTGAGTTTATTGCATTTTTAGGGGATGGGTTGTGACATTTTGTCATCACATTTTAAAAGAAAGTGGAAAGTGTCCATCTCAGTCTATGCTTAGTTTGTGTTGATATTGGATTCCTAGGAACAGGATCAGCACGTCTTCCTGTAAGAAGTTGGGCCCTATCTGTAGTTTGTAGGGTAGATAGGATTTCTGCAGTGTAGAGTCTTGGGAATTGTAGGCACAGAGGACTGAAATGGGCAAGTTTGAAACAGCAGAGGTAGAGGAGACTGCACATCATGTGTAGACTCCTTTTGAGAAATTTGAGTAAATAGGAAAGAGAGAGCTAAAGAAAGATGCAAGGGAAAGGGCATTTTCTTGACAAAGGAGATCAACATAGCCTAGGAGCCAGTGAAGAGGGGGGCGTTAAATACTGACTCATGCATCCCAGTCTCTGAAGGAGTGAGAGGGAATGATTTATAGGAGTGCCTGCGAGAAGGCTGATGTCTAGACAGGACTTAGAGAAGAGAATATAGAAGGATTTTGAGCAGGTAGGAGGCCCCAATATAGGACATAGCCACTGATTTGGGGAGAAAGTGGCACAGTGCTCAGTAATCTGTGTACAAGAACCAGGGAGATGAGTATTGGTTTATTCCAAGGTTTAGGTTGTGCTATTTGGATTTGGAGTAAGGACACAGGACCAAGAGCAGTGAAAGTGAGTTGAGATCTTCACTATTGTGTCCTGAGTGCCTGACATATAGTAGGTGTGCAGAGGGGTAAGAGAATTGGACTGTGGGACCTAAGCAGACTTAGAGAAGTAGGCTAAGGAGAAAGTGAGATAGACTGAGGAGCACTAGGAGTCTGGATAGGAATCTCAAGTCCATGAATGGGGACATAACATTAAGTAAATCTCCTAGTGACTACTGTATTTTTTGTGGTATTCTAAGCGTCTACTGAGAGAGCAGTTGAGAAAAAAGGTTGAACTAAGGATTAGTCAGACAGCAGGATATCCTTTGTGTTTAGGGCATCTTTGTGTTTAGGACAGCAGAAAGGCTTTGCGAACTCTTTAAGTTCATAGGGTGGGTGGCTGAAGGGGAAAGAAGATTATAGCTCCTGCAGATGAAAGATGAATGGCTTGGGGAGATAGATATCAAATTATCCATGTGGACAGTCGTATCACCTGGACGGTGGAAAGAGCTGGAAAAAAGGGTAGCACTATGAGCCAGGTATAAAAGTCCTCTCCTGTGGTTGAAGGTGGTATTTTTCCAAGCTAACGGACAGGGCATGTAGGCTATCAAGACTCCCTATATTGGCAGATACAATCTGGACCTTTCCAAGAAGCCTTCACCATGTCTAACCCCTCTAGTTTCAGGCACTGAATAACTAAGCCAATCTCAAGGACAATGAAATCTTTGTAATGGCCACCTCTTCCCTCCTGTAAACACCATAAATAATAAAAGAAGAAACATTTTTGTTTAGGAAATAGGATTTTTTTAAAAAGCTCCCTCCAGAGTTAGCTCCTTGCCTCTGACCCTGAATTGAGACCTACTTTTTACTGCTGAGGTGGTCTTTACTGGAAACAAGTTTTTCCATTGAACCCCAGGCTTTTGTCTCCTGAAGAAGCACAGGTCGACAAGGCAGCTTTGACACTCTTAATAAGGGCTCCTAGTGGGTTCCATGCCAAAGGCTCCCTTAGATTTTCAGGTCATGTCTGTCAAAAATGGAGGAGATAAGGGATTGGAGGTAATGGATTAATGGTGAGGAACTCAGGAACTGGTTCTAATAAAAATTGGGTTTAGACTACTTGATAAGAATTAAGGTTGAACTCTCATGAAGAGCTCTCTTTTCCATTGATGTTCCCTCCACAGGCCACTGGGCTTGCAGCACTCCTTTCTTCTTCCTACAAAGCCACAAATTTGACAGAGCAAGGCTTGGGCTCTTCTCACTTCTGAGCTGGGCCAGGGACAGGGCAAGTGGGACAGGGAAGAAAATAAAAACTCTGATACCTGGCAAGTGGAAGAGTGTTGGAATAGGGAAAAAGAGTATCAAAAGAAACCTGGACAGATTCTGTTTCTTGTTTTTATCATCTTTATCAGCCTGGATTCCCACAATTTCAAGTCTTTCCATTAGTTTATCACTAGTTCAATCCCAAGTAATTTTAGATTGTATCATGTATCTCTCCCTTGTCTAGGAGTGGGCAGAGCCATTTGAGCAATTTCTGTATTCCTTTATCACTCTAGAAAAAGCTTTTGGACATTTTTTTTTCTTGTGTACCCTGCCAGTGAAGTTTGACTTACACAAGTACACTATATATTTAATAGCTGTGTGTATTTATGCTTTATACATAAAGAATAAATACAAATCTTTTTATTTAGTATAAAGTTAATAACTAAATAAAATGTTTTAAAAGTTAAATGTTAAGGTAAATACATATTGACCCCATACATAACATGTATTCCATCTCCTATTGAAAATTTTCTTTGGTGATTAATTGGGATATCTTGAGAAAGAAGTTGACAGATTTTCACAGGATACCTCATTATGGGTTCTGTGGACATTCACATGGGGCATAGATACTCTCACACAGTCCATTTTTCAAGGAAATTAACATTAATATTTTGCATATTATATTCAAAGTAGTTCAGATTACATAGTCCATTTTGAATGTTCTGTTCACTTCTAAATGTATGCAGGCAAAGTGGTTAGTTAGTACTGTGCTTTCCATAGAAAGTGTATTGTGTACTGAGTATTTTATTACATTATTATTGTGATCATTTCTGCAATCATTTCCTGGTCTGACCATCTGGTCTAAATTGCTATATATTAGTACACTTGACCCAGTTCCTTTCTGTAAAGTGATCAACTAGATGCATAGCTCCTCGAAGGAGCTCCTTTCCTTAAATTAATATCAGGGTCAAACTGGGTGAGACTGTAGTCTTCCAGCTTCCCTTCCAGATAGTTTCTTGCCATCACTCAATGTTATCAGCTCTAGTCAAGGGCTTTTCTTTAGGACTGATTCTCAAAAACTTCCCAGTGTCCCAGGAATGAGTGAGACACTGAGCAAGCAGTGTAGTAGGAGTAGATGTGACAGGAAAGGTGAGCCTCCTGTAACATTAGCTTTAGGACTTGCTCTGCCCTCTGATGATGGGGAGTTGTGTTCACCTGTTAACTTTATGGTTTGCTGGACCACATGGTACACCTCCAGGATAGGTAGCTCAGGTGGTATGGTCACTTGGGGCTCCATGCTTAGACATTCAAACTTTACTGAGACTTGATAATTTAACTTTGTTGAATTAATTGTCAGGTGCCAGGAGCTGCTTGTCAAAAGGAGAGTGGTTACTTGGGGAAGACATGATTGATTTTACTCCAAAATGCTAGAAGCTTTTGCTTTGACACTCCAGTTAGCAGTTGTCAGAGACTTACCACATCTCTGTATTTCAGACAGCCACTTCATTCAGGCATGTACATGTTCATTCCACCAAGTAGTGACTGCAGGATTCATGCCCTCTGAGGGGTTCTGGGATGTTCTTGTTCTTAGGACCTGTGCAGTCCAGAGGGGAACAGTGGCAGCATTGAGAAGAGCCACACTGGACTGTGGGAACCCAAGGGAGTGAAGAATCCATGCCTTTGTGAATAGATGTGTTATGAATCATGGGTGATGTGTGCTAGTAACATCTGCATAAGTGCATACCAGCACATTTCTATATCTACAAATACATTTAGTGTGTACATTTAAGGACAGTTATGAGTCAGCTGTCAGTGCTCTCACAGAAAGAGTTCTTTCCTGTGAAATAGATTTGAGTTAACCCTTACTCTCAACTCTCATATATGGTGCCTATACACTTACAAGCATCCATGAGTCACTCAAGCTTTGTATTCTGCCCTTAAAATATGAGCCACACTGGTCTCTGAGCATCACTTTAGATGACTGGTAAGAAGCACAAAGTAGGTGCTGCATGAATGATTACTATGGTGACTGGTGAGATAGTCGATGAACCTGGTACACTGTGATCATGATTGTGAAGGTTCAGGCCTGGCATGTGTATGCATATGCACTTGTTTGTATGTGTGGAAAGCATATATGCGAAGATAGATACATACCCCACCACGCTCTGAGCTGTGGGGGCAGTGACAGGCCAGCTCCAGCCAAGAAGCCCCGGGATGCATGTGGTACCATGTGGGTGGACTGATGATTTGGTGGTCGCTACTCTGAGGAGAAGGAAAGGTGGAAGTTGGGTCAGAGCCTACCTTGAAGGGAGGCTGGCAGTGTGGAGATAACAAAAGGGAGTTTGAGGACAGCTTTCTGAGTATGTTGCTTGGTACATCTCCCATCTCTCTAGCAGGGAGGCTGAAACTAGGTAGGAAGGCCTAGTCAGCCCTGACTCTGTCCTATACAAATTTTGTGATCTGGGACCATCTTCTGGTCTTCTCTGGACCCAATCTATAAACCAGTAATAGCAATCACTGTTCCTTCCCATGCAGCTGTTGCAGAGATTAAATGAGGCTATACATGTGGCAGCAGATGACACCATGACTGTATGTAGTTATCTAAAGTGTGATAACAACAATGACGATGAATGACCCTTCTGGTCTTCGTTTCCCACTTGTCCCACCCCATATGATTTCCTCAGCAAGCAACATCTGTACTATTAAGCCCAGCCACAGTGACAGGTGTTAAGAAAATGTATCTCTTTAAAGATCCACCCAGAATGTTCAGATCACTATGTCCATGTGGGAGGTAGAGAATTTTGTTCTAAGAGAATCAAAGACAGCAAGAATGAGGAAACATGGAGCCCAGGGCCCTATAACCTGCCTAGGAGGAAGAGCAGTAGATGAGGAGGGCTTTTGGGGCCAGATCTTGAAGCAGGAGCAGGGCCTTAGAAGGAGTGGGGGAGGTAAAAAGATGCTATAAAAGGTGGGGACAAATTTTGGCAGTATGATTCCTGTGATAGGGGTAGGGAATGTATCAGCCCTCTGTGAGAAGAGGGATTCAGGGTGAGGTTTTGGGGGGAAGCTGCAGGGAGACTGGCAAAGGCAAAGGCACAATTGTGAGAATGATTAGGGATTCATCAAGAAGGGGCAAAGATAGTCATTGTAATTAGGCTGCAGAAGCAGGTGTATTTGGACTGTGGTCTAGAAGACCAGGACCAAGCTATTGGACTCGCAGATGGAAATTTCCATATGGTAGCAATTCGATGGCCTTGTCAAGACTGAATGACTGACAGAATGGAAGAGCAAGAGTGATTAGTATCTGCCTCTATCCATGACTGGGTAGCTCCTACTCAGGGTCCAGATAGTGGTCAACCATCAGGGCCAGCTCAGCCTGCCCACTTGGGTGTGTGGCACATTGTCTACCAAGTTTTCCCAAGCTGAAAATTCTGAGTCACTTCCAATGCAGCCTCTGAGTTTGAATTCATTCTCATTTCTGTCTCATAACTTTTACAGTTCCTAGAAACTTTAAGTCTGATGGTGCCAATGCATCTTAGCTGATGCAGCCCGAGGATATCTGATGATCTCCCCTCTGGGTCTCTTAACCCTGCACTCCACTGTATATTTTATTGTCATTGTATTTCTTGCAATTTTCCTGCTGATCATGCATTTCTTTGTTCATACAATAGAGACAAACATAGAAAGAGAATGCAGTGGAAAAAGGAATAAGTGAATGAATATGTAAAGATTTTGAATGAAATGTGAGTAAATGGGAGAACATATGCAGAGACAAGTATGAAAGACAATGCCTGAGTAAATCAATATGTCACACTGTCCCTGCTAATCCCACTGAGTATAAAAAGATAAGCAGATGAAATTCTGCTTTCTCCTGGAATCACCACTAAGAATAGAAAAACAGTTGAAAACCAGGAAATACAGGCTGCCCTGGAGGGGACAAGCTCAGACCTGTAGGGCAGAGAGGCATCCTGAATAATAGGCTTGGGTCAACTGTCACCCACAGAATGGTGAAAGCCAGACTGGCTACATCAGAACCACTACCAGAGGTTTAGGAGCACAGATTCCTGGACTTCATCCTTCTAGAGCCTGGTTCAGGAGGTTGAGATGGAGCCTGGGAATCTGCATGTCCAACCAGTCTCAAATGAACCTGAAATTCCAGCCAGGCTAGAAAACCACTGAACCAAGCCATACATCTCATCTGAGACATGAAAGGAGAGCTGTTTGGCTTGGAGGTCCTGGCTGGTTTGCCTCTGCTGACCAAGAGAAGCAACTGGAGAGGAAAAGACACTCATTCTGGGTTCAAATTCCAGCTTTGACACTCTGCTGGAATTATCCCAACAAGTAACCTCGGCATGCTGCTTCTCTTTCCCCATCTGTAAAATACGAGAGAGTCCATCAATGGCCCAAGAATTTGAAAGTGCTTCTCCCTTCAAATTATTTGGTATAGACTAATGAATGTTAGAACATGTCAGTAAGAGTTAGTGTTATTTAGCACTCACAGGGATGTAGGCACAGTTGCAAATGCTTATTTAATCCTCACAAACACTGTCTCTGAACTAGGAGTTGTTACCAAACGTGCCCTACAGAAGAGGAGCTTGAGGCTCAGAGACAGGGAATAACTTGTCCAGGGACTTGGAGCTGCAGCAGGGACCTGAGGCCACAGGCCATCTGAGTCATGCAGCCTGCACTCTTAAGCCCTGGGCTATAAATGGCAGCTCCCTTCCCCCTTCTCCTTAAAGGTTAAAACAGAGGCTAGAGCCATTCCTGAGGGAATAAAACAGAACAAAGAGCTCTGAAAGGAAGGAAGCCTAGGGAATGTATGTGATTAGGCACCTCAGAGAGTATGGGGGCTCAGTTTGCCCCTAAGCTTCCTGACAGCTGCAGTGGGGAGGGAGGACAGCAAGAATTCCCAAGCCTCCATTTTATGGAAAGAAGGAGGCACAGAGACATTTCTAAATGGACACTTGTCTTGGACTAAAATTCCAGAGGAGTTGGTCTTGTGGCCGGCTCAGCAAACATCCGGGATCAGTAATTCATCAGTGATGTCATGAGACACTAAAAGGCTTATTCACATACGTGATGCTGGGAGTTGGAGGCAGAGGGGAAAGAAAACATGAAATTCTATCTCAGATCAGAGCCTTGTTAGACTGCTATTTCCCGTAGTAGGAAGGGAAATGGAGGCCCAGGCCCTGTCTGTGTGCCTGTGCTTGTCCTAACATACACCACATTGCCTCTCTGGGAGGAGACCCGGGGTTGTGATTGACCTCGGGACATGACAGTGTCCCAAGGACTTGGCTAGGTTGAATGGGAAGTGAGGTTGCATGTGAGGGACAGATTGCTAGTGCTGGGAGGTGTGGGCAGGGGAGGTTCTATCAGGCAGAGCAGGAGCTGGTTATAAGATTTGGAGAAGAGTGTAACATTGGAGCAGGTGGAAGAGTGTGGGGGCAGGAGAAGCAAGAGCTACTAGGAACACAGTTTTTCACCCTTCTCAGACTTTGCCCCTTTTTGTGTCCTTATCCCTGTCTTCTGTGTCTGCTGAGCCCTCCATGTCACCCTGCCCCAATCTGCCCCACCCATACACAGGATGCCAGCTCACTCCCATCCACCAGAATGGTGAAGGGAGAGACCTGTGTCTGCATCACCTTCTGCCCAAAATTACAAGACCAGTCTGTCTTCTGCAGCTCAGGCATTATGGCTGACTTCGTGGTGCAGTGTGATGTGGTTTCAGAGGACATTGCAGATGTGCAGGTGAGGGGGCCCCAAGACGAGGAAGGAGCCTTTTGAGTTCTGCAGCCAGACAAGCCTAGGCAATGCTCTGGTCCATAAAGCTGTCCATTGGATCAGAGGCTCCCTAGGGATAAAGAGAGCAAATGAAAAAGGGCAGCATGTTGGGTAGAGACGCGTGTCTTCACATCTTGGGAATCACATGCATACTCAACATGGTTGGAGGCTTGGAACTTCAGAAATTGAGTCAGGGTCCAAATGAGCACATCCTTAATTGAATCAAGCCATAGCTGAGTCTAAACCAGCCCTCTTTCAAAGGGAACCATTGGCCAGTAATTCCTCTCTCATGCTTTCTATAGCTCTGATATTCTTGTGTTTTGCTGAGCTTTCTTGCTGTCTCTCATTTCCTAAAAATTCCTTTTGCTTCAGTGGAGCCATCTGCCTAAACAGGGAGCCCTCCAGTTCTCAGCACACACACTTGTGAAGACTGTGGGGCTTCTGTGCTGTACTGGCACGTGAAGTACTGATTCAAGACCCTTGCTTAATGAAAAGGGTGGTGACAGCATGAGAAGACCTCTCCTGGCCCACCATTGCAACCACACCTCTCCTTGCCCCCAGCACACAAAGTATCCCCTGGCCACCCCAAACTACCATCCTCCACAAGCACCAGAACCTGCCTCTTATCTGGGTGTGAGCATTGCTCAACTACCTGCTGCCCTGAGAGTGTCTTCCTCATCCTCCTCCCCTGATCAATGTCCTCCACCAACTTAATCTCTGTTCAAACAACTCCTCCTTCGTGTCTCCCCTCCACCCAGCCACAGTTCTCCTCTCTGACCTGCCCTAAATTAGTGCTTCAGTTAGATCTCTGTTCAGGCATCATTCATGTATTCATACGTTGGCACATCTCCATCCAGCACAGCTACTGTAGCCCAGTTTTGTATCTACTTTATCTGGAAACTCAAAAATTAGTTGGACTCAGCTCCTAATCTCACTCTGGTATCTTCTGGTTTTGAAGCAGCCAAATTCACAGGGCCATCATAGACATCAAAGGTTTTATGTGCTGTGTCTATACCCATAGGGGTTATGTGGTGACATGCATAAAGAAGGTCTTAGGACATTTTTCCTCAAAGAGTTGGTCTCTCAGCTACTATGGGAAAATGAGTAAGGCTTGCTTCCATGTCAGTGGATATGGTGAAGGGAAAGGCATGCACATGGAGGGAACAGCAGGCACAGAGGCTCAGAGGTATGGCAAGCCTGTTGTGTAGGGGAAATGAAATGAGTTCACCCTCTCAGAAGAGCTGAGGGTACCCTGCCAGGAAGTGGCACAAGGACTTTAACCTGGTCTTTGCCATGTGATTGTATTTAGTTCATAGAGCAATTGTCTGCTACTTCATTAACTACTTTGTTCACAATTGCTCAGAGGAAAAATTGCAGATGGAATAGATAGTTTAATCATTTAGTAGTATAACCAATAGTCCTGTTAGCTGAACTTTGACTCCTGATGCCATCCCATGAGGATCTCTCTATCCATATCCTAGTTCCTCTTTGAGCAGACCCACCTTTCAAACCCTGAACATCACCTGCTCATTCAGTCAGGATTCACTGGCCACCAACTCTGTGTCATGGCCTATGCTGGCTGGGATTGGGAATGCTGAAGGATATCAGTCACAGGTCTGTGGGTGTAACAGATCCAGACAATACTGACAGGAGCCCAGAAACACCCCCATGACAGGGTAGAAGCCAGACATAGTAGAAGCCAGAATAAGGGGAGGATAATAGCCAGAGAATTTTCCTCAGAGAAAGTGAAGGCTGGCCTGGGTTTTAAAGGATGTAGGGAAGTGGACAATATGGGGGGCCCTTGAGGAAAGGAAAAAGCATTCTATCAAAGTGGGTGCTTTTCAATAAAGGGAATGGAGGCTGGAAATATCCAGGTATTCATGGGGGGGGGCTGCAAGGGGCATGCATTTGAATGCAAAATGATAAGAGATACAGGAGCCTGGCAAGTCTGGCAGCAACAGGGCAAGAAACTTGCATTTTGTTGTGTAGGTGTCTGGGGAGCCAGAGAGAGTATGAATCTGTGAGTTGATGTGTGTGGAGACCCAGCAGGATTGTGGGGGTGGGTTGGCTGTGAGTAGGAACAGGGAACCTAAAACAAGTTAGGCTTAAACAAATCTCGAATGTAGAGGTGAGGTGACCCTGACAAGTATCCTGCAGAATTGATGGCTGGCTTGCTGGCTGGGTACAGGCAGATTGAAGGGGGCATTCAGCTTTATATGAGGAGGGATCCTGGGGTTGGTGGTGCCCTTACAGAGAAAAAGCATGCAAGGGCTGTAGAGAGTGTGTGACTGTGGCAATGAATGTATCATTTGAGCAGTGGGTCTGTTGTGCACTAGCAAAAAGAACTTCATTATATTTGTATTATACCAAAATACCTGTAATGTGGCCTACTGTTCTATATGCGTGTTTCTTTCCCTATGGGTGACCTAACTGACATGTTAATCAATGCTCCCTTCTGTAAAGAATTGTAAAACCTAACCCAATTGATATGTTAACCATTGTTGCCCTCTACAAATAGTAAATGTGGTGCTAAAATAAGCTAACAGGAGTTGTTTAGCTACTGCTAGACTGCTCTGTCTTCTCCTAAGAAAGACAAAGATCTTCCTCATTAACAGTTTTCCCAATCCACACCCAGAACCCCTTACTTTGTAAATTGTGATAGGTCCCACAAACTGGGAAAAGATTTTAGTGAACTCTCTCTAAGAAAAGGGACTCTTGTCTAAAACATATAAAGAATTAAAAAAACTCAGACCTCCAAAATTCAAAGATCCAATCCAAAAAATGGGCATCTGAGATGAATACGCCATTCTCAGATGAAGAAATGCAAATGGCAAATAAATACATGAAAAAATGTTCATCATCATTGGTCATTAGAGAAATGCAAATTAAAACCACACTGAGATACCATCTCACTCCTGAAAGAATGGCCAGGATCAAGAAAACCAACAACAACAAATGCTGGCAAGGCTTTGGGGAAAAAGGAACTCTCCTACACTGTTGGTGGGAGTGTAGACTGGTACAGCCTTTGTGGAGTTCAGTCTGGAGATTTCCCAAAAAGCTGGGATAAGGAAGTCCCATTTATTCCAGCTATTCCACTCTAGTCATATTCCTAGAAGAACTGAAAGCATCATACCACAGTGATATATGTGCACCTATGTTTACAGCAGCACAATTTGTAATCGCCAGATCTTGGAAACAACCCAAGTGTCCATCAACTGAGGAATGGATAAAAAAGTTGTGGTATTTCTATATAATGGAGTATTACTCAGCTATAAAGAAGGATCACATTGAGATATTTATCAATAAAATGGCGCAGATTGAGACTATACTCATAAGTGAAATAAATCAATCTCGCATGTGTGAATACCGAATAGTTTCCCTAATGTAAGTAATGATTCAAATATATAAAAATATGTGGTAATCATGATTCCCCATTATGTGGCCTTGAAGCCTTATAAAGTTTTCACTTATTAATTGGAAAGGCTTTATTCTGGGCTTCTTGATATGGAAATATTTGAAGCTATAGTATATGAGGTTTTATTCAAATATTTCAAGGAAAAAGACAGACACTATGGTAACCACTATTAAGTCGGGTTATTTGGTTGTGAAGCACTAGGTTGCTGAAACAGTTATGCTTTGACCTGTATTGTTATATTGTTATGTCCTGTTTTATCTCAATCTCTCCCTTATTCATTAAAAAATTATTTAGTTATTTCTTATGTTTTTTTAATTAAGGGGAATAATTTAAAAAATTAGTAGGATATATAATAGTAACTTTTTTTGATTTCCTATTAACTTGTTTTGAAGTCCTGTAGTACTCCCATGATCCTGTTTTGACTGATTAGACTCTGTTCCATTCTGTATGATAGTATCAAGTTTGAGAGTATAGGCAACTACTTTGAAGGCAATAAGATTCACTAAGATGCCCATTCTGGTTTGACTATTGTCTCCTTTGGAAGTCCTGTAATGTTTACAATGCTTAAGTTTTAAGTTTTTTCTTGTTCTCTACTGTCTTGTTCAACTTTATAATATCTAATGAGATAGACAATTCTTTTTAAGGAAACAAGCGACATTGTTGTTAACCATTGTTGATAACCTTGTACTCTGTTTTACATCATGTGCTATGTCTATCCTTGGTTTTGACTGACAGCTTTGTTTTGCCATATTTGACTTTATTCTCTCCCCCCAAAAAGTAATAAGAACTAAGGAGTAATAAAACCCAAAATGTGTAAATTTTGTTGTAAAAAAGAGAGGGAAAAAAGAGCTCTAAAGGATACAACAGCAAGTGTGTTAAATAGCTGACCATATTAATGTTTTTGGTTAGATCATTGAACACAACTGTTTGCAGTCTCAGTGTTTGAATGTCCACTTTGTGTGCTTTGAGCAAATATGTCTAAGACGATAATATGTAATCTAGTAACTGGTGATTTCTTACTGTTGTTTTTTTTTTTTTTTTTTTTTTTGTAGTTCTGTATTACTTGTACCCTTACACCGCTTTGTTTTGTTTTGTTTTTTCTCTTCTTCCTTTTAAATAAAAAAAAGTGAATTGTGATAGGTACTTAAAGGTGGCAAGTATAGAGGAGCAACACACAGCTTTTGCAATCTCCAACTTCACTGTATCACTGGGCCCAGGATAAAATAAATCAGTGCTGCTTTTTAAAATATGTTTTTGCCTCGTTTTTTGAACTTGAGTTTGGGGGCTCATTTGTGGATTACAAGATTTGAAGGCTTGCTCTGGATTAATGGGGGACCCCCCCCACTGATTGGCTAATCTTCTGTAAGTATTTGGCTTTTTTGCCTGTTTATAATCTGAGTGCACACATTTGTAACTGCAGATAAAATGTGACAACTTCTAGGGGACTTTTTCCCCCTTTTGTATTTTAGGGCTTCTGGGGCCTATTTGTAACTTTGGGCTTCGGCCCATGTAGGGGTTTTTACCCATTTGTAATTGGATGTGCACAATGACT